TTTTCCTCTTTAAATAAAATATGCAGACATAAACAATGATTGACTGAGCTCAGACATGAGCGTCCCAAGCTTTTTGGTCAGCTTCATGGAGAGACCTCTGAGCTTGGAGGTTGTTTTAAGGACACACAACCTCATGACCTCATGATGTTTTTTTGATTTCACAAACCACCCACATGGGAACATTTTATAACGCGTCCTCCAGGCACCGGGGCGTGAACCGGCTTCTTCCCTTTCTGAGCGCTTGCGTGGGAATAATTGGAGCATTAAATTGGATTATCGGAAAAGCGCTGGCACCTAGTAGTATGTGTTCTCTGAGTGTTCATTTCTTTTTTCTCCATCCAACCTCTCTGATTTCATTTGATTTTTAAAAATAGCTTTGTTTACCCCTAGCCAGTTTGGATAGTGGATAGAGCACAGTGGGTCCTGAGGACTGCAGGGTCTCGGGTTTGATTTTGGTCAAGGGCATGTACCTTGGTTGCAGGTTCGATCCCAGGGCCGAGTGCAAGAGACAACCAATCAATGTGTCTCTCTCATGTAGCGCGCTCTCTCTCTCTCTCTCTCTCTCTCTGTCTCACCGCTTCCCTTCCACTCTCTCTAAAAATCAATGGAAAAATATCCTCGGGTGAGGATTAACAACGACAACAACAACAAAGCTTAATTTAGATAAAATTCACATATCACACAATTCGCCCATTTAAAGCAGTTCAGTGGTTTTTAGTGTATCATCACCACAGTCAATTTTGGAACATTTTCATCACCTCAGAAAGAAACCCTGTAGCTCCCGCTCTCCTCAGCCCTACGCCACACTTTGTCTCCGAGATTTCCCTATTCTGGACATTTCATATGGATGGCTCATAAAATATGTGGTTCCCTTGATTTTAAATTGAGGGAGCTCAGGAATGGTCAGAGGTGAAGGTGGTGGATTTAGTGTATCCTTCACAGAAGAGGAGGCTGGGCGCAGCCCACGGCGGTCAGGGAGCTGGTGAATGGTCTGGGAAACCACAACCTGCCTCTCTTGGCTGCCAGCTCTGTGGGGACCGGTGCCTCATGCCTCCTGCTGCATAAGCTTACATCACCGGCCTGGGCTCCTTTATTTACCCTTTGCTTACAGATGTAATTAGCCAACTATGGCAGGGGCATGACAAGTATTTATATAACACATGCTTTATTTAACAAAAGCTTTCTATGGTGTTGGAGAAACTTTTTCAAAGAAGTGTTTTAATGCTAACTTGATACAGAGTGTGGCAAAATTTGGAGTGAGCTTTTATGCAGGAGAAGTCCTAGCAGGAAAGGAAAGGGGATTTTCTCTTCCCGTCTTTAGTGTACAAAACCACTTATCTCTTCTTCTGTGTATGTGAGGCGGAATGTGGTGTCTGCCCTGCCATGCTGAAATATGACAAAACATCGCTGGATCGGTAGGGTTCATTTCCTTCCCTCCTCATCTAGGAAATGGTGAACATGCTTCTTTCTCTAGTATAAAACCCGAATTTACTTTATGAGAAGGCGGTGTCTAGGTTTCGTGGGAAATACACTACATGAAAGTTAGCATTATTATGCAGAGGTCTTGGTAGATCGCTTATTGTGTTAAGTGTCAATTTCTTCAACTCTACAGGAAGGTTTGAAGCAGGTCATGTGGAGGACCCCACGCTCTAAATGTGAGCAGGACGCTGTGGATTTCTACCACTTATTTCTTTCTCCTTCTCTTGCACAGGGATCATGGCCCAAGTAGCAATGTCTTCCCTGCCCGTGGAAAATGAGGCCTCCTCAGAGAGCAGGATGGTGGTGACGTTCCTCATGTCTACTCTGGATTCCATGGTGAGATGGTCTGCAGTTCCATCAAACATTCCGTGGTTGGATCACTGTAGAAATAACAGAACCGGGGAATGCTTCATTTTTAATATTCAAATTCAGTGTTACGCCCTATCTATATAAGCATACCCTTCTTCATAGAGGATAATGGGCTTGTCATAGTTTGTTTTTCTTACATGATGGATATAATGATATAAATTTAAGCTTTCCAGATCTGACATTTTAATGAAGGCACCTGTGTTACCTTGTTCGAGAATATGTCTTGTCTAAATTCAAAGGCAAATTAATGTGCCACTTGCATGCATCTGTTTACATCCATTGGCAATAAGGGTCAGGCTAATAGCTCGTGCCTCCTGGTATGATGCTCTGAGAAGGAGCAGAACCACTTCTGTGGCGTTCCCACCAAACCCCGAATCTAATGAAGAAACATCATACAAACCCAGATTAAGGCATAGTCTACAGACTGGACTTATATGTAAATGTCAGTGTCATGAAAGAAAGAAAAACCTGTTCCAGGTGGAAGGAGACTGAAGAGACAGGACAGCAAATAAAAAGTGTGACCCTGGATTGGATTTTTGACCAGAAAAAAAATAGATATTTACTTACTTTTATATAAGGAAGATTATTGTGTCAATTGGCAAAATACCAAATACTCACACACACCTTGACCTGTCATGTTCAGACTGTAGAAAATCAAATATAAAGAGAAATTTTGAAAGCAATCTATGATAAACTGAATAATGGCTGCCCAAAGATGTTCATGTCCTCACTCCTGAGCCTGTGAATGTTCCTTGAACTGGAAAAGTGATTAAGTGAAATGTGATTAACGCTCTTGAGATGAGGAGATTATCCTAGATTTCTGGTGTTAAATAAAATTTGATGTCCCGCAGGATCACACAGAACTTTGCACAGCAAGCTAACCCACACCCTTGACCTCTTGTGACCCGAGAAGCAAGGATTACAAATCACAAACCATTAGCCCTTAGAGGTGGAGGTGAACTTCCTTATTCTCTAGTCCAGCCGTGGGCAAACGACGCCTGCGGGCCGGATCCGGCCCGTTTGAAATGAATAAAACTATTGAAAAAAAAGACCGTATCCTTTTATGTAATGATGTTTACTTTGAATTTATATTAGTTCACACAAACACTCCATCCATGCTTTTGTTCCGGCCCTCCAGTCCAGTTTAAGAACCCATTGTGGCCCTCAAGTCCAAAAGTTTGCCCACACCTGTAAGGTTGCTGTCTCCTTCTACTCTGACTTTCTGCCACAGCCCCTGTGCTAGTTTCCGGAGGCTACGGTAACAAATTACACAAACTGCGTGGCTTTAAACAGCACACGTTTGTTGCCTGACAGTTCTGAAGGCCAGAAGGCAGAAAATGGGTTTTGCAGGCCTGAAATCAAGGTGTGAGCAGAGCTGCGTTCTTTCTGGAGAATCTGTGCCTGGCCTTTTCCAGCTTCTAGAAGCCACCCGAATTCCTTGGCTTGCGGCCCCTTCCAGCAAGGGTACCACTCTGCCCTCTGATTCCACTGGCACATCTTCTGCCTCTCTTTTCCTTACCAGCACCTTGTAATCACATTGGGCCATCATGGATAATCCACAATTCTCTCCCCACCTTGAGATCCTAAGTGCAATCACATCTGCAGAGTCCCTTTTGCCATGTAAGGTAACCTCTTCACAGGCTCTGGGGATTAGGACATGGACATCTTTCCAGGGTCATTATTCTGCTGACCGCAATCCACTGTGTCAGGTGATGTTGCAGCAGATATGGCACCTTTGGGGTCTCGATAAGGGGAAGTTGGACTGGGGATACATTTAGTTTTAGTTTAGTGGTAGTATGTGGCTTGCTGTTATTTTTACGTCTGGGTAAGTTATTGCTGGACATCCCAGTGTAGGAATAGTTTCTAGGAATACTCCTATAGTCCACTGTGTCAATTCATCCGGTGACATGATTTCAAGGACAGAGCCTGAGGTCATATTGTAGTGTGAACATATCTGGATAGCAGAGATGAAACAAGGTTTTATTTATTTATTTATTTTTAATCCTCACCCAAGGTTAATTTTTCCATTGATTTCTAGAGAAAGTGGGAGGGAGAGGGGAGGGAGAGAGAAAGTGAGAGAAACATCAACGTGAGATAGACACATCGATTGGCTGCCTCCCGCATGCACCCTGACCAGGGCTGGGAAACCTACAGCCAAGGTTCATGATGCCTTTGACTGGAAATCAAACCCAAGACCCTTCGATCTGTGGGCCGACACTCTATCCACTGAACCACACCAGCCAGGGCTGAAACGAGGTTTTCAAGGTACAGAGCCAGAAGCGAGTCTGTGGAAAATTCTTCTAATCATTAAACGGGTAAAATTGTAAATAGGGGATTTGTTTTTCATTGATGCCTTGTCGAAACCAAAGTTCTCTCTGGTCAGGAATATACCCAATAATGTAGCAAATGTAGTTATAAATACACCAAAATCCTTTTAACTTTTTGAAAGGAATTGCACTCAGTAGAATGTATCATGCTTGTCTGCAGGCCATAAACCTGTAGCACTACGATGACCAGCAAGTCTGTCTATGTATGATTTTTCATGGTTTTATGCGTCTCTACCATCAATAGTAAAAATGTAATCACCCATGTTGGAGGAAATATTAAATTATTAAAATGATATTTAAAATATTATTGTCAGAGGAAGAGGCAGTCAAAGCGAATATAGCCAAAAATGTAGGGGAAAAAGACCCTGCACCCAATTCCAGTGTTTTGGGGCAGGTTTCCCCACCCCCACCCCCACTGGTGTCTCACAGTTCAATTCAGTTCTGACACTGTCAACCCAGAGGCAGCACCCAATCCCACAGGTTACGGGCTCAGTCACACAAGACTGCCTCCTTCAGATGCCAGTTGCATCAGGTTTGTCACCTGCGCTTCTCATCAATTGTATCTGGTTTGTCATAAGTGGGGGGTCCCAAGACCCCCCTTCAGGTTTGATTAATTCACTAGAGTGGCTCACAGAACTCATCTTTATCACGCTCTTCACTTAGAAAATTCCAAGAGTGTTAGGAGTTGTGTGCCAGGAACAGTGGACCAAATATATATTTCTTATGGTAAATCACAGAATCACAGGTAGTTAATAAAAACATGTTCTTCTCTGGATTCTATGGTGTTAATGGTATTTGCTTGGTAAATTAGTTTTGGTTTCTTCTGGGTGATTTTTCTCATTCTAAAAAAATGTTGTACCTAATTTTGTACTTTCTTAAGCAGACCTCTTAGGCCCCACAAAATCCGGATCTGCCCTTGAACACTTCATTCCTTGTATTTCAGTGCAAAGAACTGGCCAAGTCCAGGGTGGAAGTGGCCTGCATCGCCATGTATGAAGCAGAAGTGTTTGTCGTTGGAACAGAGAAAGGACGAGCTTTTGCCAGTGCCAGAATGGACTTGCAGATGGATTTTGCAAAATACTGTAGGTGTTAATAATTTTATCCTTTGTATTCATAAACTGTAAAATATTTGCAGGCAAGTCTTGTGTCATGTTTTCTTCTAAGACATCATAAGCATTATTCTAAAAATGTTTCTGACCATCTCCTTTGACTTGGCAAACCAGTGAATAACTACTTCACACTGGCGCGTACAAGAAACATAGTGTATTTTGTACTGGGTCCTCAGTGGGACTCTGGTTTTGTGGACTAAATTTGAAGTATATAAAGTAAGTTGTCTCTGATTCCTAAAATAAACCCACATTTTAAAAAATGCTCTTATTTTACTCCTTCCCAAAGGGAAGGGTAGAACTCCTTTGGGGCTTGTTGGGCATTATTTTTGGTTAATAACCATTTTACTCCATTTCCCCCTTTTTTACTGTTACTTTCAAGCCTTCAATATGCCAATATGTGCTGCGAATGCCCGGGGGCCTTCATGAGCATGTGCGGTCATCTTCAAGGGAAATGATACTCCAAGGCAGTGATTTTCAACCTTTTTCATCTCATGGCACACTTAAGCTAATTACTAAAATGTTGCGGCATGTCAAAAAATGTATTTTGCTGATCTGACAAGAGGAATAGGTATAATTTTGATTCATTTACACCAGATGACTATTGTTGTGTTGGCTGTTGTCATATTTTTATTTGACAATCTAAGGGAAAAGAAATCAATTATTACATGTTTTAAAAAACATTGCAGCACACCAGTTGAAAATTGCTGCTCTAAGGTGTTATCTTTACCACTATAAGTCATCTATCAAGTATTGAGTTAGCAATTTTGTATTTCCTGGAATCAAGAAAGGAAAGTTTAATTAAAGGTTAGATATAGATATGTAGATATAGATATATAGATATGTAGATATAGATATATAGATATGAGGATGTCTTCAAGAATTAGCAGAGGCTATATATATCTATATATATATGATCTCGATGTGTGTGTGTGTATAAAATCTTGATTTGATAGATATACATTTGTTTTGTAGTAAAATTATATATATAATATTTTTTTGAGGAGGATGCCTATACAGCATCGATCGCTTTTGGTCAGACTGAAGGAGCCCCTCAGTGCAGTGTTTCCTGAGGGGAGCAGCTGGGGGAGGTCTGGGGGAACACAGAACAGGACTAAAGTTGGAGAGGACCTTAGAGATGCACAGTGAGATGAAAGGAGAGAGTAAGCTCCCTGGGAGCCGTCTCTCAGAAGCCAGAAAGGCAGGACATGTTATCAAGGGGCTCCAGGCCTGGGGAAGAGACTTGACGCTCACTTGGACATTAAGAAACAGGCTGGGATGGGACTTGTCCACCATATATCTGTGAGATGGATTCCATTTGACTTCTAAAACCAAAATTTAGGGTCTCTAGTATCAAGAAGATAGATTAAAAAATGAAGCAGTGAGTATGATGAGTATGTGATTGATGAACAAGAAGGGTAGTCTCAATTCATTCATGTCAGCTGGCAATTAGATTTCTAATTGTTGAAATTTAATTACAGCATTTTTAAAAATTTCACAATTGCATGCTAATTTTTCAGATATAGGGCTATTCATGTTTTCTATTTCCTCTTGTACCCATTTTGCTAAACTTTATTTTTAATGACTTTATTTCAGCTAAGTTGTCAAATTTCTCATTAAATTGTTTATAATATTTGCTTTATTTTTTTTTAAATTAAATCTTTATTGTTCAGATTATTACATTTGTTTCTCTTTTTTCCCCCCATAACTCCCCTCCTCCCAGTTCCTGCCCCACTCTCTGCCCTCACTCCCCACCACTGTCCTCATCCATAGGTGCACGATTTTTGTCCAGTATCTTCCAG